TGGCAGAGATAAATAAAGCTATATATAAAGAACCTCAATTTTGAGAGACCAAAATAATTAAAGGCAATTTCTAAATGAGGTTGAAATCAACTTTTCTTTCTCTTCATGTTTTTATCTCCTACTTTGGATATATTATCATCTTTTTAGCTAGAAAAAAAAGCTATTTAAGAACCTGGATGTTTGTGTTCTACATTTGAGCCTACTGTATTAGTCCCTGCTCTGGGTCTCTAACCCTTTTTAAAAGATGGAGATTCATTTGAATGGCTCTTGCCAACAGCACATAAAGCACCCCCCACCACCATAAAACATATCAGTTCTAACCTGTCTATTCTTCCTCAGCACCCCATCCCATCTCATCTTCTCAACACTAGATGCATTAAGAAAGTAGGTTTGTTTTACCTCCATACCCGGAGGTCCCATTGAGACTTCTCCCTCTCTATCCACGTGCTTTCCCCTTTCCAGATTCACTTTCTTTGAGGAAATCATCCTGAGAACACAAGAGAAATTTCAAAGCTCTCTCTGGGAACAAGGCAGGGGAGAAGGTTGGGAATTTCTCATACAAATAATTGTCCTTGAACATTCAATGGCAGATCTAGCTTCATCTCTGGCCAGCCCTTGCTTTTCTCAGACTGAATATAATTGTGAAGCTTGGAAAGAACACTTTTTCTTTTTTCTAAGACATCCCTATTTTTTTCTAAAACAATGTTATTTCCTTGTGACTTTGTGTTTGGTTTCAAGATGGTTCATCAGCTAAATTGACTGAAAAATTGGTAAGACACCTTAAGAGTTATTTTTAATTAATGGACATAATGACATCTTGTGTTTCTGAGGCATCTTCCCACCAAACTCCAAAGCAGGACAACCTCTTTTCTGAAGAGCTAGGTACAATCTTTGGTGGCATGTATGCTGGGGTTGCATTCAGGACTTCATAGCTGCATAATTTAAATTTGTTTCCATTTAAACTGAATGGACCTGTTGACGTCAACCTGTGTCCTGTTCTAAGTTACTCTATGTTGCACAAAACTGTTTTTTTTTTGGGGGGGGGGATGTCTTGCCTTGAGAGATTCCACTCTGATGGTAGATGACTGTGCACCTGGAGGGACTATTTGAAGAACACCATCTGTGTGGCATCACCCACATAGCAGAGACTGATAAATGACTTATTCCTGGGAGCAACCCTTTAAATTTATTGGGGGATGAATTGAGAATGCAGAGGCACATGAACATCAGAATAACTCTATGTTCAAGACACTAGACAAAGGGAAATGTGTAACTCTATATAAAGTGGTGGACACCTAGCACTACAAAGGTGGTGGTTTCTACCACCTTGTCATTTGGCTGTCACATAGTATATGCATCAAGGGTCAACAGAGAGAACCCTCACAGGGCCTTCAGCTGGGCTCAGGCCTTGCTGTTGACACAGCGTAATTCGGCTTCCATTTTCTCATCCTGTTTGCCCATCTGGACATGCTGTCCATCCATCTGCCAAGTCCTTTGTTTGAACTTGTTCCTAGTCTTCCACCTCTGTATCTGGATTCAGCTGTGCAGTTTCTCTCAGACCAGTGACCAACAAGTCTCTCAACAGAGATTTTACATCTCCATGAACTTTCCTGCCTCTCGGGCCTCTGAACCTCTTGAGTTCTCTGGCCTCTTAACCCTTTAAAACATCCTGTTACTCATGCACAAATATTTATATATGTAATGTGTGACCTGAGAGTTAATAATTAGGACTCCAATATAAGAACTTGTGTTTACCTTGGTCAGAATTATCAAGGAAGGTGAAAGTATCTGTTAAAAGGCTGCCATTGAAACCACCATACATTGTGAATTTTGTTATTTGATAAATTCTGGCACCATGGATAGTTCCAGAAAAATCTCTTCTCTCTCTCTCTCTCTGGCTTTTCAAGACAGGGTTTCTCTGTGTATCTTTGGTACTCACTCTCTCTTGTCAAAAACTAGATGTAATAAAATGATAGTGTTCTATGGTTTGATTGAAATACTACTCACTGGGCATGGTGGCTTCCAACTGTGATCCCAGAGCGCTTGGTAGGCAGAAGACGTACTGTTGCAAGTTTGGGGGAGATCTTGTCTAAAAGTAAATAACAAATACCTTTTGCTGTGTAAATAATAAATACCTATTTCACAAGTAGGCATACATGGCTATAGCTGTTACTAAGAATGGTCTGTCTTATTAAAAGTAAAAGACAAATGGAAATCTTGCAGAGAGCTGCACCTTCTCATTGGGTGGTCATTCAGTCCAGGAGCCACCTTAAATCTATGGTTTGGAAACAAATCTTTGTGAGCTTAGGACAGAACTCGGCATGGTAGGTAAGTATAGCTCATCTCCTTAAGGGACTTGCTCTTCCTTATCAGTCCTTATAGAACTGACATTCTGAATGACAAAAGTTTCTTTGCCTAGTCCATGCCAAACTAGGTTTAGGAACAGCATCTCTGTCACTCAGCCAAGTTCTGAGCACCCAATCTTCCCTCTGTCAGATGTTACAATCATCCATGCTGAACACCCCGTCACTCACAAATGTGTTGTTTTGTTCCAATTCTCATTTGTACAGAACCAAAGGGAAATGCTTTTCATCAAGCCCTCTTAGTGCAAAAACATCTTGACATTAGTTTGTACAAAAATAACTAAAGGACTAAAACCTAATCTGATGGAAAAAAAAAAAGACTGTGATGACCTCAGCTTATAATACAAGTCTTTATGGAACCTGGGGATTATTTTTATACAAACCATGGCAACTATGAGCAATGAATTATACACCCTGCAGTCTTACCATAAAGGAACTGCTTGTGAAAGGAAATAAAACCACACCATTACTAACCACAGACAAATGTGGTGATAGATACAGGATGTTCTTATTGGAGAAAATGGATCATGTACTTGAATATGCTGCCTTGAGGGCTGTATACAAATAAAAATGGCTTTACACAATTATTCCAATAATGATAATTTAATGGTTTTCACACTAAAAAAGAATTTATACCTAACTAGCATTTTATGCTTCAATAGCAATGTAAAATCTAACAATTTAAAAAATGGAATTCATAGGCACAGATTTTTAATGGATTACTTCGTGTCTTCTAAGGACATTTCTATCAGAGTAATCAGATTGTGTAAAATAGAGAAAAGGGGTTTGTGTTCCAAGACATCATTCCTCTTGGACCATGACAACGTTGAACAAAAATATTTTCACAAAGTTTCATTTTAATCATCTTCTTTTACAAAGCACAATACGTAAGATTTTTCTAAATACAACTTTAGAAAATGAAGCAAAAAAATTAATCTCCATAGATGCCTGGCTGAGTCCATGCTGAATGCAAAGGAATTTTAATTTTCAAGAAAGTAACCATTCCAAAATTTTTATATTCTTGATGGGTCCATTTGGTCAAGAATAAAGATGATGGCTGTTTGGGCAGTGGCTCATCCAGTTCTGTGATGCACAATCTTCTTGCTGGTTAGCCCAAGGGATGGTAATGGAGCTGGATATACCAGCTCATTTCTCTGTAATCACTCTCCTCTCTCTCTCTCCGTCCTTCCCTCCCTCCCTCCCTCCGTCCTTCCCTCCCTCCCTCCCTTTCTCTCTCTCTCTCTCTCTCTCTCTCTCTCTCTCTCTCTCTCTCTCTCTCTCTCTCTCTTTCTTTCTCTCTCTCTCTCTTTCCCCAAAGCAATCCAATGCCTTTCTTAGGGGAAGATTACCAGCACACCCACTGAGGATACTTGAATCCCCTAGTTTCATTGTTAATGCTCTCACTCTGCATAAACATCTTATATCATCAATTAGGGATTTTCTAACAGATGAGAAATTAAGACATCAAGAATCTAGTCACTGTTGTAATAGGTGGTAGGAAATCTCTAAAGGCTTCAAGTGTAATGCAAAAAGGCTTAACACAGTGAAGGGGAACAGGAATGCTTTACACTGCTTGTAGAAACCCTTTGCTCTTGGCCCCAAGCACACTGGGACCATGACTGCTGAAAACGTAAATATATTCACATATGGGAATAAAGAATGAGTTCTTTACATATTCCCTTCTCCTAACTGTGTTCCCACACATGAAAGCTAGGGCACCAGGACTCTGTAGATATATGGAGGGAAGTGATAGCCTCGAGCAGAAAGGACAAGTATATAAGTGATAACAAGGCATGGGGAGGGAGACAGGAAGAAAAAGGAAGAGACATTTATTTGTTATATTTTCAATAATGAATAATGTGAGGTTTTTTGCATCATTCCTTCTATGTCATCAATTTTCATTCTTTGTGGTAGTGAAAATCTATTAATGTTTAGTAGTTTCACTATAAAATGCAGGAAATAGACAAAGCAGCAGTTTAGAAACACATCAAACATATTTGGGGCCATTAAGGGACCACCCCTCCACCTCTACCCCATCAACAATCTTGCAGTACAGGATGCCCCCCATTTTTAGCTAAGGATGAGAAAACAGTTACATAGTCTAAGGCTGAACTGTTCATGTACTATAAAGATAAAGCAGACAAGCAAACATCAGTTTCATTGGGAAAGAAAAAGCAATTCCGTAAGTGCAGGAAAGATCCAATAGCTACATTTCCACAAGACCCTCCTCCTGTTCTCCTGGATCTCAGGAGGGGGTTACAAGTGCGCAAGGCAAATGACACTGTGAATACAGTTTAAACAATAACACACACACATAACCCAGTGCAGGAAATAATCCAACTCCCCCCCGTTTTCATTTGCATTTTATTTTTATTTATTTTTGCTTTAATAATGCATATTCTGTTCACGCAATAGGTGTAAAAGGCAGGAAGCAGGGTTTAACTTGGCTGATGATAGAACAATCAAGCTGGAATGACATTTCTAGTTTCATGAACAACCTCAAAGTAGGAGAAACTGAAAAGTCACAGCTGGTACCAAAGAGCAGGCCAGACTTTCCAGCTGTCTCCTCTTAGGACCTTTGGCTACGGTGAGAGATGCTGCGAAGACAGCGGCCTCTAGTGGACAAGGATAAGTGACTTTTTTTTTTTTTTCTTTTTTTGTTTGTTTTTAATTTCTTTATTTGGAATCATGGTAGCTGCATCACAAAAGCTCCAATCAAGAGGGTGGTAGAAAGAAGGCACAGATCATTGCAAATACCAGATTTTCTTTTTCTCTTTTTGTAAATATACCAACATATATAAGCGAAAATTTCTGTTAGAGTGGTAGAGGTTGACTGGCAGGGAAAGGGAAGGCTTGGACCTCAAATTGCATATGTAATAGAATCCTAAAGGGGAATACAAAGCCAGGTGGCATTCAGTCCACCTGCAGCAAGTGATCAAGACACTTGCTTTGGACTAGGTTAGCACAAACACTAGGGGCGTCTGTGACAAAACACGATTTAAAAAATCATAAAATTATAAAGCTTGTAAACGAATAATCTGAAATTACATTTTATTAATGGAAAATATCATCAAAATAGTACTATGGACTAAACTGCCTGAGTTTTCATTTCGCAGGAGATCTCAAGGTAGAAAAGCCTTTAGCACAATTGGCTATAAATCACAACCACTGCCAGACCCAGGACAACGCCATGGGAAAGAGTCTCCTCTTGGATGGAATTTGTGTTGTGCTATCAAGACTTTTGTGCTAATCGTTCAAACAGGGACATGTTGAGGCAAACCTTTAATCTTTTGGCACAAGATGATTTTGGCTGGGGCAGAAAATTTGAGTCTCGGACTCAGGGTGAATAATGTAACATCTCAATTATCAAGTATTCATTTTGATTGAAGAGCTTTCTTTATGTCATTCACTTCCATCTATAAAGAGGGGGAAAGCAGCAAACATGGGCATCATGAGAAGCTGAATGATAATCACCCTCAACTATGTAAAGAAAAGACTCAAGGTGACAATTTTAGGGATGAAATGGGTAATCTGACATCATGAAGAATTGGTAAGAATGCCAGAATCAATATGAACCTATAAACAGGCACTCCTGTGTGGTACCCTGTCAAATAGTGTACCTGGTCATTCCCAGGGCCCTAGGCTCCAAAGTTATTCAAAAGCAGCAATGACTCTTGATTGCTGGCCAAAGGGCAGAGCAGGCAATCAAGAGCATCTGAAAGTGACCCCAAAGGGTAGGTGTGAGCACTCCCAACAGGATGGTGAACAATTCCTATTCTTTTCTAATTGATGTGTGCCCAAACTGAATGGATAATAAAAGTCAGTCTTTGGTCACAAGATCTCCACCAGTCATCAGGACAGAGGTGGATCAGCAGCTAGAGGGGGACAGAGCTCAGATGCCACATGGCTAACAACAGAGCTTCCTGTATGCCATATCCTCTGGCACTTAGTGTGTGTGTGTGTGTGTATATATATATAATCCTATAAACTGGAGGGAATATTTTACAGATGATATATTTAAATAATTTTAATAATTTTAATTTATTTTAAATATTTAAAATAAACTCTAAACTAGAAGCCCAACTAGGAGTATGTTGATTCTTCTCTTCCTTCCTCAAGAGCTTTTGGAGCTCAGGTAAGGACAGAATATGTGACTATGCAATCGTGAGACACGATCACACTTGGTAGCTTAGGCTGCCCATGGGACACACTCTATAGACCAGGCTTGTCTGGAACTTGTGATCCTCCTTCAATTTCCCCATTGTGGAATTAAAAACATGCATCATCATGCCCAACAGCAATCATTTCCTTTCAACTAGAAGCCCTGAGTTTGCTTCCACTCCTAACTAAATCTAGGCCTCATGGACTTACCTGCAACCGAAGCCGGATTTTCTTTTCTTCATCCAGCTCTGACAGTAACTGCTTAATCTCACGTCTGAAAAGCAAATGCCAAAAGAATCTAATCAAAGCCCAGAGTTTCCAAATGTGAGGTAAGAAAATCTAATATCAAGTATGGGCCAAACATAATTTCTTCTTTTTAAATTCCCTCAGGGTTGGTCAGTCAGTCTGTCTGTCTGTCTCTCTGTCTCTCTCTGTCTGTCTGTGTGTGTGTGTGTGTGTGTGTGTGTGTGTGTGTGTACGTGCGTGAGCGTGTACATGTGCATGTGTGCATGATTGGGACAGGAATGTGCATTCTACATTGTGTGGAGGTCAAAGAACAACTATTGTGGAGGTAGTTCTCTCTTTCCACCTTTATATGGGTCCCAGATGTTGAAGTTAGGTCATCCATGACTTGTATTATTGGGTGGCATGTTGGTTAGGTTTTTGTAAGCTTGACACAAGCCAGAGTCATCTGCAAAGAAAGAACTTCAATTGAGAAAATGCCGCCACTAGATTGGTCTCTAGGCAAGTCTGTGGAGTGTTTCTGATTAATGATTGATGTGGGAGAGCCCAGCCCACTGTGCATGGTAATAACCCTGTCATGTGGGTTATGGGCTGTATAAGAAGGCAGGATGAGTTATGGGGAGCAAGCCCTTAAGCAATACTCCACCAGGGTTTCTGCTTAGTTCCAGACTCCAGGTTCTTGCCTTGACTTCCCATCATGATTGACCGTAAACTATAAGCCAAATAAACCTTCATTCCTAAGTTATATTTTATCATGTTCTTCACCACAACAATAGAAACCTAACTAAGACAGGTGCTGGCAAGCCCCTTTACCTACTGAAGCATCTCACCACCCCTAAACACACTTTATTTGTAGTGTGCTGTTATTTGGAAGGGGACCACCAAAACATGTAGCCTTCAAATATCAGATCTGGAGATGACCTTAGCAAGCCCTTAGGTTATATTTCTCCTAATAGGAGAAAATGGGGGAAACTAAGGCATAGATTGGTGCCCCAATTTTTCCAATAACTAGACTCCAGTACCCAGGTTCATATTCTGCAATCTTCCCTATAACTTGTCTTTTATAACCACCAGGTATTTACAGAATATTTAATTGTAGACACTATTTTTGTTCATGTATTTTTCATGTTCATATGTATGTGCAAGTCCTTATGTGTGCATGTAAAGGCCAGAGGTTCATAATATCAAGTGTCTTAAATTTCTTTTCACCATACCGTTTGAGGCAGGGTCTCTCACTGAACCCAAAGCTTACTGATTCAGCTAGACTGGCTGACTAGTTAGACCAGGGATCCTCTTGACTCTGCCTTCCAAGTGCTGGGATTATGGATGTTTTGTATATGGATGCTTGAGATCTAAATTCAGGTCTTCATGTTTGTATGGTAAGTACTTCCTTACTGAACCACCTCCCTAGACACAGTGCATATATTTTTACCACTCCATATATACTTCAATTTTCCATAGTATTTTTATTATTTATTTATTTATTTATTTATTTTTGGTTTTTGAGACAGGGTTTCTCGGTATTATTTTGGAGCCTGTTCTGGAACTACCTCTGTAAACCAGGCTGGCCTCGAACTCACAGAGATCCGCCTGCCTCTGCTGCCTGAGTTTTGGGATTAAAAGCATGTGCCACCACTGCCTGACTAGAATGTATCTTAATAATAGGTCACTGGTACGTTTTCCCTAGTTCTCATAAAATCCTACAAATTGATTTTACCTTAAGACGCACTCATTGTACCTTAAATACATGAATTAATAATATAGAAATGAAGTCTGAAAGAGGGCAAACATGAGATGAGGCCTGTTACAGCCTAATGCCTTTTCCAACTCGAAATAATAAAGTTGAATGAAGCTCCTCATTCTGCATAGCTGGGACTCTGCTCGTTGACTAGTCTGGGATCTGTATTCCCTTTGTTTTGAGGGTTTAGACATGTACATTTGTGAAATGGAAAAGAAGACTTCAGAAACATCACAGCAAACACAGTGACAGTACATTTACTCATCTCCAGATGAATACCATGATGGTCCCCCATATTGAGACTATGTCCTAGCACTGCTATCAACACTCTGGTTATAACTTGTTAGCAGTGATTAATTAGTATAGTTATTTAAACACACATTACACAGCCATATATGTATGGGTACTACTTAGGGCTTAGGAAAGCAGTCAACAGTGAGGTCCTAAACCAGCAGCCAACCCCAGGAAAACTTGGCAGGCATGGCCTTAAGTGGGCCAACGTCAAGAAAGAGGAAGTCAGTCAGAGAAGACGGTGTTAAGAAAGCCACTGAGACTTGAACTAGTGAAAATGGTCTACAAGCAGAAAGGGAGATAAGGCAGTTGGGGGAAATTCAAGGCAGGGTAGGGAGGTGAGCCAAAATCTGAGCACATTTGAGAATTGTTGGAATAGACATGAATTGAATGCTACAGGGAATGTGATACCAGGGAATAAGGTAGAAGATTGGTGGGGACTCACTGATCTTGGGCAGGAGGGGCAAGCTAAGGAAGGCTATGAGAGACGAGTCTTTGAAGAGAGGATTGACATCCTGAATTACTGATTAAATAAGATGTTGGCTGGGGAAGGTGTATTGTTGCTTTAAGGCATAGCTACCTGTGGACTCAGAGACATCAGAGTTGTGAGTAGCTTCTAGGCACAGCCCCTGCTCCACAGTGAGTATAAAGTTCAAAACCCTGGATCCAGGTAAGTCAGGTCCTAATATGGTCCTGTTCAGAAGGCTGGATGTCCTGGAACCATGGATTCATTGTCTTGGCAAAGGACAATATTCTCTGGATATAGATGTCCTTGGGTACCCAAACCTATAGCTTCTAGAGCCATACAGTAACCAGGAACTTTAAGGAATTTAGGGGAGCCTGGATGGCCCAGGGAAGCTTTCCAATGTCATCTAAGCAGTTCTGCATATTTATCTGAGGAGTCTCTTCTGGTCAGAAAGTGATTTGAAGCCCACTTTTGCTCATTGTCTAGACAGAGTGGAACAGAACCTGCTTAGACCCACATTGCTCAAAGTTAGTTCCTTAGAACCCTTATCCTAGAACTTAGTAGATAGACCTACGGTTATGTGCATTTGCAAAACTGCATGTACTGTCTTCTCTATCCTCCCACTGTGTGGCAAAGACTTCAAAAAATCCTTTGTAGAAGAAATTAGCTTTGTTTAACCCAATTATTTCCCAAAGTGTCTGACAACAAAATACTTCAGGGCCTTCCACCCTTGGAAGAAAGGCAAGTGCCAGGCACTACCAGCCCCAGAACCCCCTCCCACAGGCTGAAGGATATTGGTCACACCTCTCATCATCACCTCCAAGCATCTTCTGAACCAAGGTGGCCAGGTGCCCAGGGAGACAATGATCCTCCAGGCTGTTCAGTTGCCTATGAATCTGCATGCTATTCCCTCTGCCAAAGTTCTTTGCTCCTGGTAATTCTAGCTCATTTTTCAAGATGCTCATGAAATGCTTCCCTGAGAATTATCTCAAGAAAGATTCCTTCCAAAAAAGAGCTAATTGAGATCTGAATCAGTAGTCTATGAGCCTAGGCTTCTTTGAGGGATGCCTACCACTAAACCTTTACCAGCTTTCTCCCAGTCAATGCTGCATCGCGGGTAGTGTAGGATATTTTACTTTTGCTCACAGGCTTTTCCTCCCATTCAAGTGCTCCCTGAGGATAAGAGATATGAAAGTATGTATGTGAGCATGCATAAGGAAAGGCTCCCAAGTCTCCTGATGAGGGTATCTTCCTGACAGAAAAATCTTGGGTTTAAAGATTCCCTATATCTTCTTCTGCCTTGATGCAAGCCAGTTGTTTTTATCTGTCTACGTTAAGAAGCTACATTTCCCCTGAAACACTAAAGGTAAAGTTAGTGCTAGAGAGATAACACATAGGTTGAGTGTATATTGTTCTTCCAGAAGATGTGAGTTCAGATTCCAGTACCCTTGTTGGATGTTTCAAAGCCACCTGTAACTGCAATCATAGGGGATAAGACACCTCTGGTCTCTCTATGGGCCCTGTACACAAGTGCACAATGCTGGCTCCTCAACACACACATAACTGGAACTAAAATCAAAAGAATTTATATATGTACTGCTGTTGTTTGACTCTTGAATGTCCCCACAAAGATCCACAGGTTAAAAGCCTGATCTCCAGCCTGTGCTACTACTAGGAGGTTGTGAACTTGTAGGACTCTAGTAGAAGACATTTAGGTCATTGGGGATATATAAGGCCTACTGGGACTGCTGTCCCTTGCTGTATCTTTTCTGCTTCCAGACTGCCATGAAGTGAGGAAGCCTTCCCCCATCACATGCTCCCTGCCATGATGTGCTGCCTCAGCACAAAAGCTCAACTGACATGAACTGAAGCCATGAACTAAAACAAATCCCCCTTTAATTTGCTTTTATTTTGTGTGGAGGAGTGTTTGTATGCATGTATATGTTTGTCCTATGTACATGTTTGATGCACACAGAGGCCAGAAGAGGACATTAGATCCCTTGAAATTGGAGTTATGGGCAGCTGTGAGATGCCACGTGGTTTCTGGGAAATGAATCCCTGGTCCTCTGTAAGAGCAGTAGGTCATCATAACCTCTGAGCTGTCTTTCTAGCCCTGAATCTTCCATTCTTAAAAGTTGATTTTCTCAAAATTCTGAAACAGCAATGTAAAGCTGGTGAGATGCTTAGAAGGTAAAGATGCTTGTTGCTAAGCCTGGTGAGATGAGTTCAATCTCTGAGACCTCCCATTGTGGAAGGAGAGAACCAACTCCTGAAAACTGCCATCTGTTTATTGTCCATGCACACACATACAATTTTGAAATGTTTTAAAAAGCTTATTTGACATGGAAATAATATATTTTCTAGTGAATTTCACTTTCTTTTTAGCACTCTACTGAGACTGTCCATCTTTGTAAGTGTGTGTGTGTGTGTGTGTGTGTGTGTGTGTGTGTGTGTGTGTGACTCATCCCTATATAGCATATAGCCAAGCTGTGCTCTTTGTCACATAGTAGGCTGGACATGCTTTAAAAATACCATAATTGTAGGTATAAATTAGACCTCTTGCAGTCCATATTCACGCCCAGCTCTGCTGCCCCTATCAATGTGAAGGCCTAGCCCACCTTCAGGCAGAGTGATCCAGAGAGAGCCACCGGGAAGCAGCTGTAAAGGGTCCCTGCTACTCACTTCTGCTGGTCCTTCATGCTTTCAATGATGCTCCTCAGCTCTCGGACTTGTGTCTTTAGCTCCTCTACAGCAGCCTGGCTGCTGACTGCAGGTTCCATCTTTGGTTTTCCTTCTGTGCTGAACAAAGATGGAGAATTGGCTCTGTGTCCAGCTGTTCCCAAAGAGGATGACATGGGGGAGGATGCCACTGAAGATAGAGAGGCTGGCCCACTGCTGCCAGCTGCCATGGTCCCTGGCTTGGGTGGCAGGGTTGTCTTGTTGTCTGACACCTGTGAAAAGGGAAGGTGGAAAGGCTTCAGAGCCTGGGATCTGGGCAGGGCTTGCCTCCCTATCCTGGCGAGTCGAATCAACCTTCAATACCCAACCCCACACCTGTCTCCACACATCCTACTCATTTATTCCTTCACCCACAAGCCATCCACGGTCAACCTGGTACAGAGAGACCACTGCTCAAAGGCGATCTGTATGTATTTTAAATTTCATCTTCTCTCTAGACAAGACAGTCCCAGATTGGTTTCTTATGCACTGAGAGGTATGAAACTGTTAGTCAGGCCCTATAAACCCTGAAGTAAGCAAGGCATTTTTCCTGGCCCCTTGGAACTTAGAACTTACTGGGGCACTGGCAGACAGACAAAGCAATACACACTGTAGCACAAGAGGGAGGAAGCACAGATAGCCCCAGAAACACACCAAAGCAAACACATTCCCAGAAGGATGGAGCAAGCCGCTAATAGTTCATTTTGTCAGAGGGGTAGACTGTTGGAGAAAGAAGCTGTATGAGGAGGGAAGGGCCTGGACAGTGGCCTAGAGACTAGGCCTAGAGACCTAATGGGAATCATGGCTAAGATAAAGGAAACAGGAGAAAGCAATGCTGGCAGCAGGGAGAGAAGGGGATGGTTCAAATGGCTGCATACCTTGCTCATGAGTGTCGTGGGGGTAGAAAGGCCAGAGAGTTGGCAAGCCTGGAACTAGATAGAACTGTTGAGACTTTGATACCATGCAAGCCAGAAACAGTGAGCATCTGACTTAGGGGGTGACTTAGAATGACGACTGTTTTGAAAGATGTGGGTAAAGAAGCCACATCTAACAAAGGCCATTGGACAACACTCCTGGTACTGGAGTGGGGACTGGGTAAGGTCAATGGAATCTCTGCCCTCATAGATCAGCCTGCCATTGTCAAGGAGAAGAGGACCTAGATAGACTGTAGAGTGTTAAGAAAGAAACACAAGGTCTTAGGTGCAAAGGGAAGGAACCAGCAGAGGTGGTGCCTTTCATGGAGGAAGGCCCAGGTGGTTTCATTTTAGGGTTTGCATTTTAGGAACTTGAGGGACAACTGATAGGGTATGCCTAGTGGTCAGAGCAAACAACTAACATAAGAAGCTGGGCCAAAGGAAGTGGATATCATGGGTGTGTGGATAAGAGAGATCAGAAGATGCCCAGTGGTAGAAGCTGGGGAACTCTAAATCAATGAGGCAAGAAGAGAAGGAAGAGAGAGCTCTTGACAATTGGGAAGAAGCAGTGAGAGTGTGAACGAAGAAAGACCAGTAGAAGGGCTTGGCTTAGGGTAGTCTCTAGAAGAAAGTGAAGGTTGGATAAGTGTGTCAAGGGGTTTGTAAGGAAAATGGAACCCACGTGGTATTTCAAGTATAAAGAGACCCAATGGTGAGAGACCAGTTTATGAATGGTCACTGAGTGCTATGGCGAGGCTGACAAAATGAAGATTCATTCCACAAACTTGGTTGTGGAGGGAAGATGGAGGGGAGGGGTTGTGGACTCAGGCAGAAGCTTCATGGGGATACAGACTACAAGGCAAGTTTTATTTGTTTTTATAGATGAGTGAGACCCTGAGATTTTAGGGGAAAAGCCTATGGATGGACAGGCTGAAGATGGAGAGGTGGGAAAGGCCTGATAGAGAGGTATTTGAGGAACACACAGGCTCTGGGTCAGTCTTGAGTGACGGAGTGAGCACAGGTGCTTGGTAGGCCCAGAGAGGAAGCACCAGCAAGGACAAGTGAGTGGTTAAGTCAGGTGAGGAGGAGGCAAAGTAGTGGGATAGGACTTTGGGAGCCAATAGGGTGAGTGATAGATACGGTGGAAGCTGAGGCTGGTGGTGAAGCTTGGCGCAGCAACCATGGGATTTCCTCCAGCAGCAGGCGTTCAACCGGCCATCCCAGGGAAGGCGCCAAGGAGGGGTTCAGCTGGCATGGCAGCAAGGAGGTAGAGTCTGGATTCAGGCTGTGCTAGAGGCAGAGACTGGGCAGAGCGTGCCAAAAGCAGATGGGCCATCATTCCCAGTCTCTCTGTTCGCCTTTTCTCTGCCAAGTTACCATTGAGGAAAAGCACTCTCTGCTGCCAGGGAGAATGCTTCGCCAGCCCAGGCTTTGTTGTTAAGAGGAGTCATAGTACGAGGAGAGAGGAACTGACATTTACAGAACTGTGATTGCACCCTGGACATCAGCTCTGCAATGTAAACCGTGATCAGCTTGCCCACACATTGTACCAAGCAGGAAACTGAGGTCTATAGGGAAAACTGCCCCAGTCTTGCATCTAATCATCAGCATAACTGGAATTCAGCTCCCCCTTTACCTGTTAGCTCCTCAGTCCAGCACAATGTCTATGGCTGACGGAATCTGAAGATCTGTGTTCTTGTCTTGTTTTCTTTGCTGATTATATTATATATCCCAGGCCTCAGGCCTTCTTCCATTTTCAATCCTCTCTTCCCTCTCTGTCACTGGCTTCTAGATACTACTAAGATCAGTAGTTCTTCTGCTGTTTTCTGTCTGATAGCCTCTCAGACCAGCTCACTGCACCTAACAAGTATGTTTTTTAGTCCCTCACATAGTCTAGGTCACCACATTCCTTGATTAAATTAGTTCAAGTGGAATTTCCTGAAGGAGTGAAACATACAACCTGACAACTCCAGGGAACTGAAATAGGCTAGGGGGATAGAGCTGTGCAGATCAGAAATATGAAAACCCACTATTCGCCAGTAGATGTCACTGTAGAGACATCGCTGGGAGGCCTGAGACCAGGGAACTGAAGTTATGCCTACGGACGCCAGAAAACAAAACAAAAAACATGGTTTAAATCCAATTTCAGTAAATAGAATCCTCTGAAAAAGAAGAATGCCTTGGCTTTGTGGGTAATTAAAATTGATCTGTTTTATAGGTTCACATTTTGCTTACTGTATCAGATTTTCAAGAAAATCCACAACGCAAACTCTCACATCTGTGAGGAAGAAAAGTCCATTCCAACCTTCGATTTCTTTATGCTAATGCCTGCTTCAAATGACTACTGTCTTGTATTTCTAGACATTAAAATGTTGCTAATGTTCCAAGAAAACAATCCTACTTGATGGTTTTCTTAGTACAGGAAGATAGAATTTTAAAGTCTTCATTTATTTCTAAGAAGATCTGAGTGTGTGTAGGATGTTTACTCTTCACGGCTGCATGCAGTAGCAAACTAATGTCCTTTCATGGTGGGAATCTTACCCAGGACCTTGCACATGCTAGGTAAGTGCTCTTCCACTGACTCACTTCTGCTCCCCACCCTCTTCCCTCCCTTGGTCTGTCTTTCTGTCTCTTCCCCTCCAATTCCCGTGTGTGTCTCTCTATTTGTCGAGATGGGGGGTGCTCACTATGCTATCAGGTCTGGTCCCAAACTCATGTACCAAGTAATTTCTCCCACCTAACCTCCTCAGCAGGTGGGACTATGGGTGTTTACCACCACAATGTTTTCTTCATTTTTCAAAACTAATTAACTTAAATCAGCTTTACCATTCTCTGGGCATGGAGTGAAATTAAAATGTTTTAGACTATAAAATTACCTCTGGAGCATGAATCCAAGCCAACTTTTCTTTAGGAGACCATGTTAAGAATAAAATTAAAAAAAAACTTTCCAATAATTTTTGGCCAGTTTTGAATATAAAAGACAAGGTCTGTGAGTACAGAGCACAGCATTAAATGTAGTCTGTCAAGGTATTCCATAACTTTTTAAGTTGATCAGGTGGCAGAAATGTCAAGGCTTTTTTGCAAATGTACATGGAACATTATGAGGAGTGCAGACTACAGGAGGAAGTACAAAATGAAACAAACACTTGAATGCACAGCTCAGGGCCTCTACATGTCTAAGGGATTCTGATGACTACAGTAATCACTGTCACTAAAGAATGACAAACATCCATTCCCACTGTCTGTTTATCTATCTTGCTTGGTTTCTAACCCATTGTTAGTACATGCATGGAAGGGCAGGGACACCTCACCCTGGCCACTCACTCACTTGGGATATGGTAACAGTCTTGGAAGTCTTCCTTGACACGTCTAGTCCTCTGTGCGCAAGCGAAATGTGTTCCTCTTTATCTTCTTCGGGACTTGGGGAGTCAAAGATATCGGGACTTGAAAGGGAGGACTGGATAAAGCCAAAAGAAAATGCCTTCGTCAGAATCATACTTTAGCTGACATAGCTTTGTTAATGTGATGCTGTTTGCTTCTCAAAGCACTCAGCACTTCTATTTGATCTGTCTCTATAACCCTGTGAAGCAGAAAGAATGCTGTTATCGTCTTACAACAGATAACTGTATGGCTCCCTAGCAGTAGGACTTGGACCAGGCCCCAAGAAGTGAAACTGGGAGTTGCCCCTGATGCTCATCAATCACTTCAACCATGTAAGCCTTTCTAAGTCTCTCTTTTCTCTAAACATTTGTTACTGTGTGCCTTACACTGAGCTGATACTGCAGGCTCAATGATGACATGGCATATGTGGTCCCAGTCCTTTCAAAGCTAGCAGCATGAAATGAAATGACCCATAGTCAATAGGAGACTGCCTCATCCTCTACTCTCCTCTCCTTCATCCCCTGCCTGCATCCTATTCCTTGACTCTAGAATTACTACATCTGCTGCACACCAAAGTGCCTTAAAGAATACATCCGAGAGAAGGCCACTCCTAGAGGCATAGGACCAAGAGTAATGAGCATTTACACAGCTCCAAAGTATAGCCCTGCCCACTAGCAGGTATCTGCTACTAATCTCTACCCTCACTACTATGGACAGTAAAAACACATTCTGGAGTACATTTGCTATGGTATATTTACGGAAAGGCAACATCAATGGGTAAAATACTGTTTGACATCCTCGCCCTTCCTGCCTCACTGTGAAATCATTGTGAACACCAAAAGCTGGATGAATGGGGAGCAAGTCACCAGAACTCTCTTGATCGCAAGTAATCCCTTAGCTAGAATGTCTCAAGCTTAGGAGAAAACAAATGAAACCAAGTGTCCCTGCTGCAAGGAGTCTTTTTTAAAAATGAAGAGTCTTCTAGAAATATGTTGGAGCAAGTTCAAATTCAGCTTCACTTTCCCTCCTTTGCTTTCTACCCTGGGGTAGATAAATGGTTCCTTTTAGAAATACCATTTGAAAAAAATGGAAAAATTATACTTACAAACACTTTTTCTTCCTTTTATTCTGTTTACCAAGGCAGAAACTTAAAATATTTGGGGGGCTATTTTTAAGCCAAGGTTTTGCTTCAAGAGGTCTTATTTGCTAGTCTTCACTTAATCTGGAAATCCAGTTGACTAAAATATTCCCCCCACCACCAAGTTTTCTTACTAAGAAAACTTGCATATTCAACCACCATGCAATGCATGGATCTTTTCAAGATTTTATTTTAAAAGACTCCTTCTACAAATCCATATTGCATGATCTTGTTCTTTAGGGTTTATAAACACAAAGAGTTCCAATTAGAAAGAACCTGCCTCAGGCCAGAGAACCATAACTAGTGCTTCTTCAATTATTCCCCCATTGGCTTTTGAGGAATATGTCCTTATCCACTAATCCCATTTGTTAGGAAAACCTCACAGGTGCTAATTTTAAGAGTGAACAAGAATTTAGTGTATAGATCCAAATGCGGATGGATAAGAATGAAGGATAAGAATATTCTCACTATACATCATTAAAGCACCAAGGTATTCTGTTTTTAGTCCAAATAAAATCACTTTCTATAAGATGTCAGATGTTGAGTCACCAAAGTTAGCTTCTTAAAGGCAGTGACCATGCACTTCTCATTACCATCTGTATCCTCGGCACCTGACACAATGTCCTGTCCACGGGAGATTGATGTCTCGGAATATATGTTGACCAAGGAAATAAATATCTGGGTAGCCTAAAAGCAGGGTGAAGATGAGCTACCATCATTTGGTCTCCAAAATACTACTCAGAATTCTCAACACGGGAAGTACAAACTAAGAGATAATAATTTGAACCACTTAATATTTAATTCTGGAAAGATACAAGGCTCTTTATACCTTAAAAGGTTATGAAAACTTAAAAGGAAAACAAAACTTGTGAAGGATTTAAAGAGAAGACAGAAGTAGTAGGATTGAAAATAGGATTGCAAACATGCCAAGAAGCAATCAGATAGGTTGGGTGTATATGTGCATACTGGGGTGGGTAGATTGTGGACAGGAGAAAGGAAAGAAGGCAGGTTGCCACAGAATTCTAAAAGTGTGTAAAGGAAGCCACTTCTTCAAGTCTATCTCAAAAATGTATCAATACTAAGTTAAGTGTGGTTCACATAAGGAAGAAAAATAGGCCATTCAAGCCATACTTCCAGACTCAGTAGATATGAGAGAAGAGGCTCAAAGGAAGTGGCATTCTTTTCTCTAAATGACAAGAACACAGGTGAGATTAGTGATGAGATGAAAAGAGAAGTATCTTGAGAAACCTGCAAATGGTTAAATTCCTTGGTGTTATCAGGAGGGAGGTAATGAGGCCTTAGAATTGCAAAGGACAAGGCAATGTACAGACAGACTGATAATCAGTAGGCAGGACAGATGAACACATACACTCTGCTTGTAGAGGGTAAATGACCTCTGTGTGTGTGTGCGTGTGCGTGTGCGTGTGTGTGTGTGTGTGTGCAACTAATGGCAACAGCAAGGCAACACACTTTCCAGTGCCCCACACTCAGAAAACTTGAACCTAATAATCACATCAATGTGGCTTATAACAAAGACTTGGAATCATCATCAAAATCCAATAATAGTACACTCCCTAGATAAACTCTCATGTACTTACTTTAGAATAGTAGGCAGTCATCAAATATGTCATGCTGGAAGAACTGGTAATGACTGGAGAGAATGGTGTGCAGTTTTAAGTTTTGGGGTAGAGGCAAAAATCAAAAACAATGTAATTACCTGATTCCAATTTTACATGAAAAGAAAAAAGTTTTGAAAAACCTAAGGCTACACAGAATAAGATGTTATGGCAGTTCTTTGCTTTTCTGGAAATACTATAGAAAACTTATTTTCTACTTTATGTGTCATGCTGCTCAAATTTGGTACAACAATGACAATAACAGGTTCATAAGAAAAAGTTATTTAAAACTTCCCAAACAAAACCAGCCGTCTATGGTTTATCATTGAGTGTTCTCATTGGTCTCTTCTATATACTGTGAACTTCGTAAGGTTAAATACAACCTCTTGGAGGTTTATATGGTTTTCTTTGGAGACCTGATGATGATGGGATTTGGCCCAAATGCATTGTGGCAGAGATTTATTGAGTAAGCTTTGTCTTATTTGTAGACCAAACTACGCTTAGTCTCTTTTTCTATGTTTTGCTTACCAGTTTCATTTCAGGTTCAAACAAGAACTGGTCTAAGAACAGACAGAAGGAAAGTGGGAAACAGGGAGTGCCATCTTGCTGGCAGAAACATAAAGAGCAAACAGAAAGAAATACTGCTTGATTCAAAAAGATTCTCCCAAGTATTTTTAGTTGGCAGTATATCTGGTGACCTCCTTCTCCCTTCCCCTCTTCTGGGGTGTTTCCCATCATCTGCTTGAAGAAGAGTCCTTAGCCAGAATCTCAAGTCCCTTTTTCCTTTCAGCTGTAGAGAAGTAAAGAGACACTTACAGATGTGAGCGACTGAGATGGAGGCCGCCTCCCTGTAGCTTTTGGTCTGCTTGTGGTGGGGTGGCTGAGTTTCTCAGTAGATGATACCACAGAGTCAAAACCTTCTAGGTCTAAAACAAAATGAAACAGTTTTTTAAGAACAAAAAGAAGAAGGGGAAAAGACCCTTATAGTATGTTATAAGCACCTTATTCACTTAGTGAGCACCGTGTCAATCTAGATTATGTTTTATCTTTTTACAAAGGCCACTGATACCTTTGGGTCATTCAATAAAGGACTCAAATGGGATGCAATAACTGTTTCCTCTCAGCTTAGCAAGTTTAGCATGCTAGCAAGCAAGAGAGAAACGGCTCTTGCCTATTTCCCTTTGGCAGTTACATTCATAAATCTTTCAAAAGCTACAGAACAAGGATTAAAGGAGGACTCCTCTCTTTCACAAATCTAACCATTTTAGTAGACAGAACATTCTTGAAGTCTCAGCACAAATGACAGTTACCACAAGGTATAACAGCAATGGATATATGAACACTGGTTCCTGTTGATTCTAAAAGACATCAGTGCTGCCTCATCTATTTGTGCCACAATAGTCAGGCCATCAGGTGTCATCCTGTTAGACTAAACTCTTGAGCAAGGGGACCAGGCTCAAATAAGACACTGAGCATGGTTCTATTCTGTTTCAAGAATCATTCAATGGTGACATTATCTTCAGCAGTTGTCTATTTGTACATCCATCCATCCATTCCATATTTAAACATCTTAAATATACCATTGAAAAATTAGTTCTGGCCTCAAACTCACAATTTTTCTGCCTGAGCCTCTATAGCACTGGAATTATTGATATGTAACATCACCTTGAACACCACTGTTATTGGACAACTATTCTGTGCCACATAAAGTAAGTGCTGCTAAGATGACACCAGCAAATGCACAGGGCTCATCCATGCCCTCAAAGAGCTTATATCCTAGTGACTGACAATCCGATGAACAGAAAGTCTTGTGTCCTCATGTATCAGGAGAAAGGCCTTTACTTTGCCAGTGTCGTAAGTGATCAGGGCAAAAGGTTACCTTGTTTTATAGATTCCTGGGATTTACAAACCAAGTGTGATGGAAATGAAAGGCTCAGAGGAATGAGTACTGGGAAAGAACTTGGTACTATTATTGCTGTGATGAGGGCAACACCTTCAAGCATCACACGAAGAGAGTGGATCAGTGGAGCTCTGAGGCCAGTTAGGAGCCAATCAACATCAAGTACCCAAGAGTGACTCATAAAGGGTCTTACTTCTCCAGATGACTCAGCTGGAACCAGGAGGACCCTGAGCTGGAGAGGGCACAGATTCATACTACTGGGAAGTACTTGTCCAAAGCTGGCTGGCTGGGCTGGCCCCTCTCAGGAGCCTTCCCTTTAAATAATCTGATTTCCCCAACAGGTTCCTCTATAGGCTCTATCCCAGATCTTAACTCTACCAAGTATGTATTGTCTGAAATAGAAATTCCATATTACACAGTGGGATTGATGTGAAAAAAGCTACTGTGTGACATTAACATATCAATTCATTGTTTTAAAATCAGTTTTCTCCCAATACAAAAGTAATACATGTTTTACGCACATTTTTATGTGAAATTGTAACCAAAAAAAAGAACAAAAAGAAAGTCAGTGATAATCTCACCACATTGAGACAACCAGTTAGAAAATAAGATATTAAAACGAATGTTATATATCATATTGTACTCTGCTTATTTTACTTAACCTTGGATGTCAGGTTGCTAAAAATTCTTCGTATTTTACATAATCTTTGGTGGAATGGCAATTCATCATTTATTCTATTCTCTATTGTTGTATAATTCCTCTTCAAATCACCTCCTCCTATTTGTTGCTAACATAGCAAAGTGCTGCATAAAACACCACTGGCATGCACTCTACATATGATTAGCCAAGCAGGTTAGCCAAGTAGATGCTGGGCTGCTGGGACTGGGGTAGGGAACGGGACCACAGCTAGGGTGGTTTGCTGGTGGGGTTGGGAGTTGGCTGGTGAGGGCAGAGGAAGCCTCAGGGAAAGGAGCAAAGATACAAAGAGCAGAAGCTGGACAGACAGCAAGGGGAGGGAGTAGAAGAGAAGACAGTTGAGAGGTCCAAGGAACAAGACATTGCCAAGGGCTTTGGCTGGGAGCTCCCAGGACTGAGCAGCCTGATGTATATCATCACCCTGTCCAGGAAACTGAAACAAGCTCTAGAAACAAAAGCTAAGCAGGGTGAAGTGATTAAAGAACAATTAAAATCCAACTGACTGGTTCTCTGTTGGATAGCCAGAACTGACTCCTGTAGACAATTATTTTATGGGGGGGGGCAAGCGGGGGAGAGAAGAGAGTTGAGAGAAGGGGACAGAGAGATAGACTGCTGTGGGGAGAAGAGATGGAAAGAGACTGGGGGGGGGGCACATATACATGTAGAAGCCAGAGGTTGATGTTGGCTGTCTTACTCAGTCACTCTCCACCTTATTTCTTAAGACAGGATCTCTCACTAAACCTTGAGATCACAAATTTAGCTAGCTTAGCTTGCCAACTGAGCCTTCTGTTTCTGCTTCCCTTGCTAGGCTGTTCCAGGTGATTCCCTATGTACAGCTTGCCAAGGTAAGCCATAGGGAGTAAATCTTATCAGTAAAGTGGTCCTCCAGCACTTGATGAAGAAGTACTAGCCCGACAGCAAAGCTACAGAGATGTTGAAGCCCTTGCCAAAAGCATTTGTTTATAGGCTCAAACGGTTGACAATAGAACAAAAGAGACACTCTCAGAGCTGGGAACAGGAGGCAGAGGTGAAATGGTGCAGCATGCAGAATGGAATAGGAGATGGATGTTGAAACTAAGGGAGATGGTGGACCACCTTGCGATCACAATGGGATGACATGCAGAGACAGCTAAGTTCATACTAGGAAACTCCAGTTTTTATTGCAGGGGCCTGAGGCTATGCTAGATAGTTCATGCTAGCAACATGGCTCATCCCCTCACATTTGGAGGGGGTGGAGAGGGTCAATAGGCACTCACCAAAGGTTCCTATTATTTCTTCATGTACCTCCCAGGCCACTGTATGTAACTGGGCCCTAACAGCATGTGACCAAGTGGTCCTCAGGATAGGCTAGAGGAGCAGTTCTCAACCTGTGGGTTTTGACACTTTGAGGGTAGAACGAGCCTTTCACAGGGGTCACCTGAGACGGAAATTTCAGATACTTATGATTCATAGCAGTAGCAAAATTTCAGTTACAAAGTAGCAATGAAAATAATTTTATGGTTGGCGTGCCTACAACTGTATTAAAGGGTCTCAGCATTAGGAAGGGTGAGAATCACTGCACTAGAGTATGTGGAGGGTAGAAGGTTAATGGAGGAGCTCCATTTATATAGCTATCAAGGGTGAGTATTTTGGTGGTGTGGCTGCTGTGGGGGCTCATGCTCCTATAAGAAACCCCTCACATATGCCGTGTAAGCCCAATAAACTCAATGTTCCCAAGTTGAACTCTGGCAGAATCATACTCTGCTCTGTCTTTGGTGACCTATCTGTGGGAGGACACATCTATTCATGTCTTCCCCCAGGGAAAAGTTCATGTAATGAGCTCTAATGAATTACATTCTTAGGATGATTGGAAGTGTGGTGCCCATTGACTATATGTGGGCTGTGAGACCCAGGAAGGCAGGGCCTTGTCCTCAAAGTCTACCTCATTTGTAGGAAAAACATGCTGGATATTCTGTTGAGGTTAAGAAGGAGCAAGTGAAAGAATGAACTATTGGAAGGAAAACTCCTCCTCTAGGAGTATAGCTTCTAAAGGATGCTCTTAGTGGAGCACAACATGGCAGCTGCAGTGCAGAAGGTAGCGCTCTGTGCCATGACAGCAGGGAAAGTGCTTGGCTGGCTCATTGAGCTCTATTGGCTGAGGTTTGTACTAAAAAGACCTAGGCATGTTGGAGTCTGGCCACACTCAATAAGCATCTCCATGACAGATGGCCAAAAAGTCTGCCTCGTTTCTGTCACTCACCAGTAAGAGGAGGGTCAGAGTTCCTCATAGGAGCCACTTTCAGCCTCTTAATGCACATTTCAGCCAAGTTTCATTTTCTACAGTTTTAGCTTATAAAGAGCATTCTTTGAAACACTAACCAAAATAAACTGCCATGAAGAAAGATATCCTAATGATGAGGTTACTTGCTGCAAGGAGAACCTCAGGTTTTCTTGGTGTGTTTCCTCTGACTGAGAACTGCCACATACTTCTGCTTCCTGATGGGGAAGGAGACACACTCTTCAATATTGTCACGTAAATTTTCAGTGGCCCAGGGCATGCTCCTTCAGACTGTGGCCATGGTAACTGTGATTAAGGAAGAATTTCCATGACTAACTCATTGTGGTGTGAAGAAAATGTCCCAATTTTCATGGCGGTTTTGAAGTGAATCAAGCTGAAACTTGATATGTGCTTTCTCAGCCTGGCTGGGAAATTTTTCCTCCTAATGAAAAGGGTTTTAATGCCCATAAGCTAGTCCAAAACGATTAAGCTGGCTATCACTGAGTTCTTTTTTTCTTTCTTTCTAGCTTTGTAAGGATGAGAGGCTCTTGGCTTTTGTAACAACTGGAAGAGGAACCCTCTGCGGACATATGGGGATGATTCATGTTGGCCAGGATGGAGTTAGCTTGGAAAGGGCTGAGCCTCTTCATGGCACCAGGAACTGCCCATTTTCCATAAACTTCAGTCATGCCCTATTTAGCTCAATTAGAACATGTAGCCTCATTTTTCCATGGATGAGAGAAATGATCCAAGTGACCACAGGTGACCTAAAGCACATCTCTTGGAAAATGCAGAGGAAAAACAGTTGAAAGATGGAGATAGGCCAGCTGTCACTAACAGAGCTGTGCAGGAACTCATAAATGGGCTATGTTTATTCACTACTGAGAATGGAAGTATGCTAAGATTTAAATTTGGACATATCATCTCCCAGTATCTCCAGAAGCCATCCTTATCATTAAGCCCCACTTATCATTAAGGCTGCTAGAACATTTGGCCTGGAACCTAAGGCCTCTGCCATTCCACATATTGCCACTAGAGAGAAATGGACAAAGGGCCTGAGATTATCTATCTA